ACAGCGTGCATCGCTGACCTGACCACCGGTCCCTCTGACCTAACCTCCGCCTGGCAGCCGGCCAGCAGGTGGTAAACAATCGGCCGATCGCGCCCGCGACAGAGGGGAGCAGCCGGTGCCGGTACACCTGTCGTCGCAACACCGGCCAACTGTACTGCTGTGATGATGGCACCAACCGCGGAGGACCACGTGAGTGCTCTGCGCCGGCGAGGGCTGCACCGCGCCGTCCAAACGGTCGGGACAGCATTCTTCTATGTGGATGGGATATCGTCTTGCGCTGTTCATTAAAGTCGTGCGGTGAGAGTGCTAAAAGTAGAGCAACATAGCTGTCTCCTCGTCAATTTCGTTTTCAATATCATGCATATAATACATTATTCGAAACTTCCCGTACTGCAGTGCATCACTGGCGTATGATCTGACATGTTTCACCCGTTTGTAGAGTCTGTCGCCACGCGTCAAACCGCCCAGCATCACGGGTCTGCCCTCTGGTGACGACCTGTGACGGCTCTGTTTCAGCGGCGATCCACGGCGGCAAGTGCCCTCCGGTCCGGCTGCTCTGCCCTCAGAATAACTTTATCCGCAAGTGCGCCCACGACGGCCAGTGCCTGGAGAGCGACAAGTGCTGCTACGACACCTGCGCTAATACCCACATCTGCACGTTGCCCGACAGCGTCTAGTGCGTCACACGGCTGGTCCGGCGCTTGTTGCCATGGTGACGCGCTTTCTGTGATCTGAAGCTTAGTAAAGTCGTTGGCGCCTTGTGAAGATCCGACGATGGCTATGGTCATGGCGCAGTGTGATATAGCTCCGTCCGAACAAATGCTTACTTAATTGGGGCACTTAAATGCGATCATGTTGTTAAACTACTTGGTAAAACATATAAAGACGAATCGAAGATCAGAACACTTTGTGATGTGTTGTGACGGAGGATCTCCAGGGAGCCGATGTCTGAGCATGATGGGATCGTGACCGTGGCGCTGTTCAAGGCCCTGGCTCATTGTCAGTGCCCTAAGAATGACATACTAAGAATGACGTAAAAGCTGAGATCTGAAATCACATAGCTTAACCTGTAATGTTGCGAGAGAGGGAATGTCAATTATACTGAAGACCTTTCTTCTTGTCTTCTTTTAGTCGTTTGTACCTGTTGATGTGTAGCGAGAGACGTGACCTTCCATATGTATGACCTTCACATATGCCCGAAGCCTTCTATATCAAACACAAGGCAAAAAACGGGGCCGCAATCACGCTGGGTCATGCCTCTCAGCACTTTACATGTGTTTCAGTCTGTCATCATACTTTTTATCGCCTATATCCAACCCGCAATCGGTCAAGCAGGGCCCAGATTCAACCCGCATCCGGTCAAGCAGGGCCCAGATCCAATCCGAATCCGGTCAAGCAGGGCCCAGATCCAATCCGAATCCAATCCTCGAAATAAGCCCAACCCGAGCGAGGCTAGAAAGACGGAAGCCGAAGACTCGCACTAAAAGCATAGACTAATGAAAATTAACTTACAAGGTTAATTTACATCCGCGTATTAAACACAATTCGATCCATATCCAGTCAAGTGGATTGGATCTGTTTGTAAGACCCACCGGATTAATCCAGTCCGTTTCGTACTCTACCCAACCAGAATTTACCAAAGTGGGTCGTACAAGCACGCTCTGGGACTCCAATGGACAGTAGCAACGCTAGCCACGTGCGTAGTGACTGCCGGGAGCTACTGTATTCGGGCATCAAGGGCGACTTACAGGCATCTATTAACCTGCGACTTACGTGCACTAAAAAGGAGTTTGTGTCAAATATGATACTTCAACCAGTTTGTATTAAACGGGAGCTAAGTATATGCATGTCTGATAATATCAACACAAAAAAGGAAGTAGATGTAGAAATTGCGAGCGATCGATGCGTCGCGTTAGGCAAAAAAGTTTATTTACAACAAGAGCACGCAGTTAGCGAAGGACGGGGAAACGTGTTGGAGTATAATGAAACAATAGCGTCGCAGCTAGGGGTCCAACGGTTCCCAGGACCACCAAATGTTTGAGCTGGGACCACCCAGCAATGAAAACCACCCGAAAGCTCAAATATTACCAAAATCACGCTCACTTATTACGATAACGATCATTACGCCTCCATACCATCATCCAATTCTCTCAATTTGCCGCTCAAGGGTCAGATGGTTGATTCTCTAAAAAATCCTCCTAATCCTTGGTCGGAAGGTCAGAATGATTATGGTCGAGAAGGTCGGGTCGGAGCTTGGTCGGGATGGCTCCGTAACACCTTGGTCGGGATAGCTCCGTAACGCCTTGGTTGGGATGGCTCCGAAACATATTGACCCTTGACAGCCTAGGATCCTCACAGTCTTTATTTCCACCATTCGTAGGGCATTGTTTTTGCATTGAATGGTTTTGGCACGCATGCAGGCTAATGCATGACGTAAAATATGGTATATGCATGTGAAAGTATGCAGCAGAAAGCGCATAGCCGGCATTCGAAAGCATACCGCAAAACGTCAAGGTGGAAGAGCTTTGATTTTTGCTTTGAATTTGGCTGGAACACGGTTTTAGATACATCCTCACTTATGCTACACGACGTGGTTAATGCAAAATGCTCTCACATTTGGCACACGTTTCACTTGTGTTAAAAACGTAAAACTCAATCTAAAAAATTCCGTTATGAAAAAACAAACCTACTAGCAAGCTTCTTATCACAGGTGCGCTGTGCAGCCATGAACTCTGGTTTCTCCGTCCACGCCGATCGACGGCTGGAGGCCCACAGCACATCCCTGCGTAAGAGCTGTAAATCGTGTGGCTGGCGAGTCGCTAGAATCATTTTTACAGGACAGTCGACGAATTCCATCAACTGCACTCGACTAGATCTCCACGGAAGGCCCTTCACGCGCTGACGGACACCTCGTCTGCAACATGACGAGCGCGGAGGTGACAAACCCGGCAACCGCGGGAACGAGGAGACACTTAGCGGTGTTGAGGAAGTCGAGCATGCCGTCGCCTGCTCCGGGAGTTACACCAGCAGGAGCGTGTGCATAACATCGCGGGTCGGCCAGTGCCCGGCGGCCGGCAGAGGCGGCAGTAGCAGCGCCACCTCCTCCAGCCCCTGGCCGTACAGGCAGAGCAGCGCAGCGTGCGCGCCGGCCAGGAGGACATGGAGGACGCTACCATCAGCGGCGAGGACAGCTGCTCTCCACTGCTCAGCCTCACCATCATCGCCATGGCGAGCATTAGGGACGAGAGCGTGTCCACTACCGTGGTGAGGCCCCAGCGTCTCGCCGAAGGCGGCGGTGGCGTGGCGGGGGCGCGGCGTCTGAAGCTACCTCGCTGCGGCGCCGCCACCGGCGGGGGCGCGGCGTCTGAAGCTATCTCGCTGCGGCGCCGCCACCGGCGGGGACGCCAACGAAAGGCGAGGGAAACACGGACAGCGTGGGCGGCGCCAAACCATGACGAGGTCGTGGACGTGGCTTTATCGCAGGTCGTCTCGACGTTAAAAATACTATGAATGTCGGCGCAATGCGCTCATATGTCTCAATGCACTTACAATATTTCTATGTCGGTGCAATGCACTATTACGCCACAGATGCAGTGAACTGATGCGTGGTTGATCTTTGAATGCGTGGTTGCGTGGTTGGTTGACGTCGCCATGGCGACGTGGTTGCATGGTGGACTGTTGCGTGGTTAATGTTTATTGCTACCCGCAATGTTCTGCGAAAACAGGCAGCAAAGATCACGAGTTTAATCTCTAGAAGCTTGTAAAAAGTCCTTTTCAAAATGTATGATCGACTTTCCAAATCATAAGCCAGACTTCACTCGATCAATATATTCATGTTGTTATACGACAGACGTTGCGATCACGGTAAGAGATTGCGAAAAACGGAATGCCACCGATTCGCCCCACTTGGCTTCTCTGCGAGAAAGATGCTTATGACAAACACCGCGTTGACTTTAAAGAGATTGCTCGTAACGAAAGATTGCATCGTTACAGGGTGGAATGTTTGTTTACAGCGACAGTTGTATCAGGCCACATAAATCACCTCATTTTGGGAATTCAATACCCACTTAAACAAGCGCGGCTGTACCCCAAGCCAGATAACGAACAGCACAGTCACTTCACCGACAGACCCGTGAGTTCAGATATGATCTCGCCCCGACCCAGCGCTAGTCCGACCCGCAGCGCCTTCCACAGCACGTCCCACCCGGACAGAGTCCAGCGGCGAGCATCAGCCGCAGGATGCCGAGCTTCAGCACGGGTGAGCTGGCCGCTGGCGTCCTGCAGATGCCATCCATGCTCGAGACATTTCCGCCCCAGACAGATGCTCGCTGCTCGCTCTCGCCATGGAGGAGCTGTCCGGTTTGAGACAGTCCCGCCCCAGACGGATGCTCGCTGCTCGCTCTCGCCATGGAGGAGCTGTCCGGTTTGAGACAGTCCCGTCCCAGACGGATGCTCGCTGCTCGCTCTCGCCATGGAGGAGCTGTCCGGTTTGAGACAGTCCCGTCCCAGACGGATGCTCGCTGCTCGCTCTCGCCATGGAGGAGCTGTCCGGTTTGAGACAGTCTCACCCCAGACGGATGCTTGCTGCTCGTTCTCGCCATGGAGGAGCTGTCCGGTTTGAGACAGTCCCACCAGGGAAGAGCTGCCATGCTTGTGACACTCACATCACAGGAAAGCTATCCCGCTCGAGGCTGTGCTAAGAAGGGCTACCCTGCTCAAGACACTCACGCCGCAGAAGCGCTGTCCCGCTCGAGACACTCATGCCGCAAAAACTGTCCCGCTCGAGACACTCACGCCGCAGAAGAGCTGTCCCGCTCAAGACACCACGCCGCAGAAGAGCTGTCCCGCTCGAGACACTCACACCGCAGAAGAGTTGTCCCGCTCGAGACACTCACGCCGCAGAAGAACTGTCCCGCTCGAGACACGCCGCAGAAGAGCTGTCCCGCTCGAGACACTCACGCCGCAGAGGAGCTGTCCCGCTCGAGACACGCTGCAGCCGCTCAGACGAGCGCGAGCAAGGCGGCTGCCAGCAGAGCCAGTGACGTCAATGTGGGCAGGCCGCCACCGACGCCCGGGGACCCGCTGTCGTCATCATCACCGCCATCAGCGTCCTGTCCGGACAGCTTGCCCTCCACGCCGTGGTCGTGGTCGTGATCATGGCCGTGGCCGTGATCGTGATCGTGATCGTGATCGTGGTCGTGATCGTGGTCGTGACCGTGGTCGTGATCGTGGTCGTCGTGAGCGTGACTCGGGCCCAGGTCGTGGCCCTGGTCATGGGGGTGGGGGTGATTGTGCTCGGCCTGGCCATCGCCGTGCGTGTGCGCGTGGTCGTGCGAGGAGCTCCCTCCCGCCGGCTCTGGCTCCGGCTCTGGCTCCGGCTCCGGCTCCGGCTCCGGCTCTGGCTCTGGTGTCGGCAAGGGTGCTGAAGGGTCACGCACACAAGCGGACTCCTCTGTAACAATACGATATAATTTCAGTTTCGGAATATGGAAAGCATGCGGGGCAAGAAAGTATGAAACCTCGATTCATCATAATAAATAGTGAGCATCAGTAGACAGAGCAAAGCAACGGGCAGACTCGGTCACTTGTCTTGGTAGCTCAGCAGAGTTAGGCGTTGTCCGCACAACACACAACTTGCCTTGAGACCTTAAGTCGCTAATTATACGACCAGTGTCAGCAGGGTCATGGCCGTGCCAGGTGCACGGAGAGCGTGCCTTATCTGTCACGCGCGACTGCGACCAGCCTCGGCTTTGAGCTCAATAGACAAACAGGTAGTAAGTGCGACACAATGGGTTCGGATATGCGAGGCGAGCCGTTGACGCGCGCTATGCAGGTAGCAAGTACAGGTTACTTCAAACCACGGCTGGCAAATGTGACCAAGAGGTCAGACACATGGCGCGGTGTGATCGAAAACAACAGTGCTGAGGTACTGCCAGAAATGCTCGTACTCATCTGAGCAGCAAATACAAGGATGTTCAGGTAAGGACGAGGACGCACAGGACAGCATTACAGCCTGCCAGTCACAGTCAACAAGATCAGCCGGTCTCGGGAGGACAGCCGGTCTCGGGAGGACAGCCGGTCTCGGGAGGACAGCCGGTCTCGGGAGGACAGCCGGTCTCGGGAGGACAGCCGGTCTCGGGAGGACAGCCGGTCTCGGGAGGACAGCCGGTCTCGGGAGGACAGCCGGTCTCGGGAGGACTGCCGGTCTCGGGAGGACAGCCGGTCTCGGGAGGACAGCCGGTCTCGGGAGGACAGCTGGTCTCGGGAGGACAGCCGGTCTCGGGAGGACAGCCGGTCTCGGGAGGACAGCCGGTCTCGGGAGGACAGCCGGTCTCGGGAGGACGGCAGGCGCTGGAGAACGCTGAAACTCGAGAGGCCATCGGGCTGGGGAGGATAACGGCGCGCGGGGCACAGAGGGACAGCGGAGCCCGGCTGCCCGTCGCCTCACCGCTCTTCCAGCCGATGTGCTCGCGCGTCTCTTGGTTCTCACGCCGTAGCCAGTCTTCCAGCGGCTGGAAGTAGTCCCGCAGCGCTGTGGCGTCCATCTCGCGCTGACCCGTGATGACTTCGAGTGCGTCCGGCCACGGCTCCGAGCGCCCCAGACTCATCATCGCTCTGCAGGGACCGACACAGCGCGGCGGTCAGATGTCACCCTCCCTCTCCCCCCCGGTCGCGCCTCTGCTGTGGTGCCGCTGGGTGCTGGGTGTTGGGTGCTGGGTGCCTGTTGCTGGGTGTCCAGCTGGGTCGTCGTGCTCGGCCAGGATAAGTGGCCTACAAAATACGTAATTCTTACGGTGGGACTTGCATGTGACCGATATCAGATAACGGTGTCGCCCAGTGTACACGCTTCGAGGTGTTTCCTGTTTGCTTGTTGATCCCGCCACCCCTCTGCCGTTTGGTACGGCGCTAACTGGCTGCGGACATTCAGCTAGGTAGTGCCGTGAAATCAAGCATTGAAGTGCCGCTGTCGAAAGAATGTTGATCTTGCCGGAAAGTCATGACCAAAACTACCAAAATGACACTCTGCCATGTCAGTCACATGACACCAATCGTGGAGCATTGTGAGACGGAGGCGAGCGTGACGTCGGCCCGACCGTGATCCCGTGCGTGACCAATCTTCTCCTCACTAGCGGAACAGCGCCGTCCCGGAGCGTCCGGCAGACTCGAGGCAGGGGGAGAGCTACTCACGCCAGCTTGCCGCCGGCCTCCTTGCTGCCGGAGATGTCGCAGCGGTGCAGGGGCCGAGCCCGGTCGGACGCGTCGAACTGACCGGCAGCCTCGCACAGCGCCTGGTGCAGCTGGAACTGCAGCACCAGCGAGACAAAGTGCCTGAACACGGCGGCACGGCGCATGCGGTGGGGCTTTGAGCGAAGCGGACGTAAATATGCAGCACCAACAACACTGGACCAAAGGGTACGTAGAAAGGTTCATGACAGTTAATTCGGACCCATGAACATCGTTATGTTAGCTCGGCACGCAATTACAAGTTGAGACAAGGAACCATCAGAACAGAGAAAGCTGAGGTGATAGTGCTAATCGCATGCACGTTGATAATAATTTTGGAAGGTGGCATAGGTCATGAAGGATCAAATCATTTTGCATGCTGCTTGTCAGTATGGCCCCGCGGGAAATTACTCTGCCCATTTGTGGTACATGAATGCGGTCCCAGAACGGATCTCGGTTTGTGACTGACAACACTGCCTTCACGACGGTTTTAAATGATACCCGTGTGTACCCTTGTTTCCCATGTGATATCATGCCTGCAGTGAGAAAAAGATATCTTCTGGAAAACAGGCTGGACTACCAAAAAGGATTGCACGAGATAGATAACTTGCCCAACGATCTAAATTACAGAGGTATCAAGGGACGAAATTGCATTATATTAGCAATAAACGCGGTCGACTTCTGTGCAAATATGATGCTTTTAGCAAATATGATGAAATTATATTATTTATGCCGTATATAAATTGACGTCACTCGGTGGCCGGTCCCGTGACAATGTCACCACTGAAATGTCCCGCATTTCCACAACATCTCTTAATGATTAATGGATGCTGATACCGTCGTTTACCTAGTGCCTGGTCAGTTCTACATCAGCCGTTCTTCTTCAGCTCAAGATCTCATAAGTGGAAACGCACCCCGCAGCAAAGCCGTGAGACATACCAGTGGGGCACCCTCCTTTGCGCGGGACGGGTAGCCGTGAGACATACCAGTGTGGCACAAGACGGGTAGCCGTGAGACATACCAGTGCGCCGCCTTCTGTGGCATGGGACGGGTAGGTCGTAACAGATATGACAGTTGTCTGTTACTGTTGAGCAGATGATATATCAGCTCAATATAAGAGAGCCAGGCACATTGGACAAACGATGCGAAATAGTGTCAAGTGTCGATGCCAAGTAGGGAAAATAAAAACAAGTTCGAAACTCTAGTTTTGAGTAGTATTTAGCAGGCTGAGGTCTACTGATGCAGCACTCGTGCGCTAATTCACGAGCAACAGTGAATGACGTACGTCTGGCTATTGGCCGGATCAAGCATGACAGATTTAGTCGATGAAGTCGATAGCTTTGCCATGATTTGCGGTATTGTTAATTGCGTGTAAAGCAGAGTGACGATTGCAAATATTTTGGTTGACTGTTGGTCACAGTGAAAATGGCCACAGACCTATGAAATTGATGTGGCCCAATTTCTCTCGGTGTAAGCCATGGCGTTGAAAGAATTTCGTACAAGATAACATCGGCCCGCTTCCGGATCGGTTGCTAGCGCCACTACGAATTCAGCCGCATTGATATATTTCGGTGAGATATACAGTGAAATATATTGAACAATATATATATTTCATTGATATATACAGTGAGACGCTCCCGATACATTGGCCTTCGCTGTACTCTTGGTTTGACGTCCTCACCTACCTTGGCTGCTAAAATGTGAAAACAAATAAAAAATGTGTAAAACTTTGGTCTTTAAAAAACCTCCAAAGACGGGTGAATTCGTAGTATTCACACAAGACCGCATGTCCAACGATTGTCCGTTTTCTCTCCCGTCAGAACCTCTTAGCCTCGTGACGTTGTGGCACTGTATCATGAAGATCTCAACCCAGCTTAGGCCCATGCTCCTCAGCTTTTATGCAAGGTGATAATTTCGTTTCTCCACATTAATTGAATGAGGGCTGTGAAATGGTAGTGAAAACAGGGACTCCAGAAAAGCGCGCCAACCAAGTAGGAGACATGTGAATGCCTTACAAGCCATGCAGAACAGATTTCACATAACTGTACTTCTCGTTGCTGCAAACTGCATCAACATGTAAATAGCGGTTGCATATAGGACCCTCATCGATAAAATAACAATCGCTCCCAGACGGCGTAGCTGCTGGGCCGGGTCGGGACACCCTTGCTGAAAATATTTCTATGGCTCAAGTTAGACTCGCTCGGCCCCTGACTTCGCGTATAAGGTCCTCATCAGTTTTGACACAGACATCGACGAGCCGGAGAGCTGCGGCTCGTGGAAGAGCTTCAATATCGGAAGCTCTCCCACAATATTAGACATGTGCCTTACGAATTGTGATTATTTGCTGGAAAACTATTCCCATTCGCTTCCATTTTGCGCATGGCAGTGTAGCTCTAACATTCCCCGCAGTCCCCTACGAACGAAATGAAGAGACCGGTACGAATATAAAAGCGTACGAACTGGACATTCGTCCACAATTGCATGCATTTTTTCGACCTCGTTGACATAGCCCTATTCCCCTGCGGGCCTTCGTAAGTGCACACCTTCCTTGGTCGTGGAAACAGTGGGGAAAACAAGCACGACATCCAAAATGAGAGCAGGCAGCATGAGCACTGACACTGCCGGCGGCGGAGGCAAGGCGGACGACAAAGTCGAGCCCAGAGCATCGCGAGCGAAGGCTCTTCCCGTACAGACGGCACTGACGGACCGCGGAGCCAGCGGCGACGGCGGCGACATCCCAGCGCCCGGCGACGGCCCGGCCGCCCCGGTGAAGACGGGCCCGACCGTCCCGGTCAAGACGAACCCTGCCGACGAACGGCCCGCTGCCGGCGGCCTCAGGGCGAGCGGCAGGCGCCCGAGCCGGCGGCCAACGTTCGCATGCAGTTCACTCGGCGGGGCAGCGTCCGGCGCCGCAGGGCGCGCCGCAAGAGCCGGTCCGCAGACCGGGACGACGGCCGCTCGGCCAGCGAGCGCTACCGCGCCTCCTACAGCGTCATACACGCCGCCAATCACTGGCGCTGGCGGTCTCAGCAGTGGCGCCAGCTGTCGCACGATCGCAACCCGGAGCCGGAGCTGCCGGCCAGCATGCACCCCAAGGTGCCGGCGCACAGCATCTGGCTCTGGAACAGCCGGTGGGGCGAGCTGCACTGGCGCTCGGCACCGCACAACCCTGTGGAGGAGTTCTTCCAGACGGCCGTCAGCGAGCAGACGCTGAAGCGCCAGGTGGGGCTGTTCGGCCGCCGCTACACCCAAGTACCCGAACCAGTCCACCTGGGCCGGCGTTGAGACGGGCCGTGGCATCTTCGCTCGTGCCCTGTCGAAGGCGGAGGACACCGCCGGCAAGCCGCCGCCCGACTCGCAGACGGTGGGCATCGAGGACGTGAAGACGGTGGCCGAGGCGGCCGTCGGTCAGTTCTTCCCAACGGCGTACGGTCGGCGTCGGTTCTCCCTGATCCCGAACATGAACCAGTTCCTGCTCAGCATCATCGAGTACTTCCACCACTACTTCAAGGACCGCAAGCTTATTGAGCTGGCCAAGCAGAACAACTGCCTGGTGTTTGACCGCGGCGGGCGCGCCGAGCGGAAGCTGCGCATGCATGAGTGTCAGCGCGAGATGGCGCACTGCTACGCCAAGTTCATCCTGGGCCGCGACATGCCGTTCCACCACATGAACCAGGGCGCGTTCGGCTCCATCTCGGCCGCGTCGGCCGACCGGCAGTTCTGGGAGGCGCTCTACGCCTTCACCATCCAGGTGGTGTGGATCACGTTCGGCCGGCCGGCGGTGGCCGTGATCGCGCGCGAGCTGGGCCGCGTCTTCCGCACGCTTCTACTTCGACCCGGCGCGACGCGACGTCTCGACGCGCACCTACAAGACGGCCGACCAGCGACGCAACGCGGCGCTGGGGCTCTCGCCGCCGCGGGCCAAGCAGCGGCGTCCGAGCGCGCCGCCGGCGGCGCGACCGACCAACGCCGTCGAGATGGCCTCGCAGAACTACCTGGCCATGTGCGTGGCTATGGCGCGCGTGTACGGCGAGTACGATTGTCCGCCGATGCCGCCCAAGCCCATCTACGGCCTGCTCAACAACCGGTCGGCGCCGCTCGGCCTGCTGCTCTCCGAGGACCAGGAGCGGCCGCCGACCGCGCAGCACGCGGTCGACCGGGCGAGCATCGGCATCCTGGGCCACCCGCGCCGCCAGTTCGACAGCAACCTGGACCCGATCGACGAGCCGCGCCAGCGCAAGTACCGCAAGCTCAAGTTCCTCGGCGCCATTTCGGAACGGGCTCAGGTCACCCGGATCCCGACCGTGACGCCCTACCTGCTGCAGCCCTCGCCACCCTCCGCCTCCGACCTGGAGAGGTTCACCTAGTAGGTACGGACGCTGGGAGGGGGGGGGGGGGGGCAAGAGAAAGAACTTGCTGCTGCCGTTCCTGCTCGAGGCTCATCTGTTGAGCCTAGGCGCGGAACTGTACCCAGCAAAGTCTGAGCTCGTCACACCCAGCTTTCATCAGGGACAGTTTGATGCAGGCCGCCCGCATGGCCGAAGCGTCCCTACCGCGGCGGATTGCGCCCCAGCGTGAGCAGCCTCTATGTGGAGCTGCAGGTCCACTGCGACTGAAGCGGGGCCAATCTCCTTCTGCGGAGACGCCGGTCCGCCATGACGCTCTGACCACGCAGACGTAACCGGCCGCGTCGGAATGCGCCCGCGACGCCATCCCACCGTCTAGCCGCGCTAGCGTTACCATTATTGGCACAACGTATCCAACATTCCGGGCGTCTACTCTGCGAGGAGCAGAGCCACCTGCTGCAGGGATTGGGTGTCATCGGTGCTGCAGTCTTTGTAGATGTTGCTACAGACCACGGGACGGACTATATGCAGTTTACATCCGACATGAAACAGTCAAATACAACTGCACGCCCAACACCAGCCGTGTTTCTTTCATCGTTTGGCTGCTTTTGTTCATGAACCGACATTCTGTGGTAACTGGACACTACATACTTATATTTCAGAAATATGAACTAACCTCGTAAAAGAGACGTTATGAAAGCATGCTGCAAATAGCAATGTAGCATTGCATCGCAATTTACTACTGACACGGCACGTGATAGATGGGTTTTGGTGTCGGCGTTCACGTTGTTGTTGTGTATCGCCAGCTCTCAGCTGGACTTAAGTGGCATGGCTCGATGTCAGGTCTGGTGCTGCACGTGCAGCTGCTACCCTGTTGACGGCCGGTGGATTCACAGACGAACGCCTTCCGCAGTGTGCTGCAGCCAGTTGGTAGACCCATTTAGAGACATCACTTACAGCAGGGGGCATCACTCGCCATGTCCCGATTGCACAGGTCAGCAGCGGCTCACCTGATGTAGGGCTTGTTGGCGACCACGGCCTCGCTGGCGGCCGGGTCGAAGTTGGCCTCGGCGCGCTGCTTCGGCGGCCGCACGCCCTGCAGCTCCTGCCGCAGTCGCCACCACTCGCAGTTGAGCTGGTCGGCGCCGATCTCACCAGAGAACACTCCCCAGCGCCACTTGTCCATTAGGTAGCCAAACGGCAGCCGCGCCATCTTCTCCAGCGCCGTCGCCATCAGCACGTTCATGTTCACCTGCAGGAGAGCGCAGGACGACACGTGAGGTCAGAGCACTGTGAAAGGCGCCAAGATAAACGAGACAGCTGGGCGTGGTGGTTCATGGTTTTTTGTGGGCCATAAATCCGTGGAAGACCTTAGCGGCAGGTATGGGTTTAAGTCCATCTGACTCCGAGCGCTACAAGCACCAGTCTGCAACTTGTCATACGCCCCGTTTTTGTTCTATTCTAGCACATCACAGCACAGGACGGCGAACCGGCTGTCTTCTGAGGAAACCGCACGTCACTGACCTCCGGGTCATCGACAGACTCATGCAGAAGACCGAGGTCATGCAGGTGCTTGGGCGTGACCACTGACAGCGCCAAGGTATCGCCGACTGCGTCCGCAAAGCCTGAAACGCATGCGTCGTGTGGGTAGGCGTACAACCCAGGAAGATACCTGAGTCCTGCTGCTCACATATTGCAGACAGGTAGCTAACGATAGCATTAATCGCTCTCATCTGCGTCTGTCAGAGGGATGAAAACCACGCTCGGTCGCCGTCGTCGTCGTCGTCACCATCATTGCTCGTCAATCGTCAATCCCACGCATCTCGCTTATTATTAGTTAGCTGCGTAAAAGCGAAATGTCTACAACACCATTCCTCTGCGATGATAAATACCGGTGGCTGATAAACACCGAAAGTTGATAAACACTGGTGGTTGGTAAACACCGATGATTGATAATAGACACCAATGGTTGATAAACACCGACGGTTGTCAAACACCGATGGTTGATAAACATCGGTGCCTCCCAGCCCATTGAAACCAAACGAAATGGTGCTGGGTCCAAGAGACTGGGTGGTTTGCGCCTTCAGGCTGTCTGCACAGCAGCGCCTCCGGCAGTTAGTCCAGGGAGTACTGCACAGCAGCGCCTTCGGCAGCTAGTCCAGGGAGTACTGCACAGCAGCGCCTTCGGCAGCTAGTCCAGGGAGTACTGCACAGCAGCGCCTCCGGCAGCTAGTCCAGGGAGTACTGCACAGCAGCGCCTTCGGCAGCTAGTCCAGGGAGTACTGCACAGCAGCGCCTCCGGTAGCTAGTCCAGGGAGTACTGCACAGCAGCGCCTTCGGCAGCTAGTCCAGGGAGTACTGCTCAGACGTACCGGGGTTTGCTGGTGCCCTGAACACCTGCGGCTGCTGCTTGTACTGCTGAGCGTACTGGGTCCTGCCCATCTGCTTGTGGGCCTCCAGCAGATCCGCCATCGTGATGTTCGTGCACTGTTTTACCCTGCGAGACCAGACCGAAGGAGTGATTTACTTCAGTCATAGCATGCACACGTGTTGGCGTTCAGTGTCTGGGAGAAACGGTGAGTGAGGTTGCCTTTTAACAAAACAAGCAAGACGATCATTTTAAGGACAAAAATTGAGGTGTTAAAGGAATGCAGGGCTGCATGTCAGCTTGACCTGAGATCCTGCCCGTCGCAGAAGTCCCAGCTGGAGGGCTGGCAGTCCTCCTGTCGTCCGTCGCCTGACCGCTCCAGGGCCGAGCGGTTCCAGAACTCCGGCGGCACCGACTGCAGGCCCATGGAGGTGACGAACGTCTCGGCCGTTTGGAACATCTTCATGGCCGTGTAGCCCTGCCGACGGCGCACGTGTCAGTCCGCCATCGTCTGGACGGGACCGCCGTCGGGACCGTGGCTGCATCTACAACTGATAGGCGCCGGGTCAAGTACAACCTGTGGTGGACAGAGACTGCTCGGCAGGTGTAAGGCGGCAACGGGCTGCAACTTATCCTGGTGTCCACTGACAGGGCTTAGGAGTTGCCTCCGCCTCCATTCGCGGAAAACGACAGCAAAACCGCTGGCTGCGCGCGGTCTGCGTGCTTCTTCTGAAAAATCACGACTGTAAAATGCCTGATTTGCCATACGTTGACCGATAGTTTTCCCTCAAAGCACATATCGGCGAAGATAGATATAGTTTACAGGAAAGAAAGAATCCGTACATTATCAGGTGTCATGTCACGCTGAGTGACACAGAAGCCTGGAGCCCGATGTCCACCCAAGGAAACTCCCGCTGGCTCCGTGGCAGCTAAAAGCGTTGAATGGTCAGAGCTGCAGGGACGTAGCTAACAAGAACCTCAGCATTCAGACGAGAAGCCCAATCGCTCACCTGTGCCTCCAGACGAGAAGTCCAATCGCTCACCTGTGCCTCCAGACGAGAAGTCCAATCGCTCACCTGTGCCTCCAGACGAGAAGTCCAATCGCTCACCTGTGCCTCCATCTGTGGCGTGACGTCGGCGTCTGTCTTCTTCGGGTACGGCTTGCAGATGTCCAGCAAATGCCTCCAGTTCTCGGACCACATGTCGCCTGGAAAAGCCAGCTTGGTGGGTTCAAAGGCTGACGTGCAGAACAATGTTAGCTGCTCGACGGAAAATGTTGAGGCAATACTGGAAGGAGGCCTAGATTCTTCTTGCTCCGGTAGGCTGGAAAATACGCCGGCAGTTTGAAACAGGCTGGTCGGGCTGCATTTGATCCAGATTGAGAGCTTAAGCTTGATTTATGTGCCCGTGGTAACTGGGTGACTGTTGTGCTTCCGTTCCGGCCGTGTGTCGGCCTGACCCCTGAACCGACCCACTATCAGGGTCAGATCGTGGCCTCTTCTCACAAAACAACCCGGCCGGGCGCCATTCACTGCACCTGACGGCGGGCAAAGTGGCTCTATATACGCCGCGTCTCTCGTTAAAAAGGAGTAGTGCTGATGCTAAACAGGCCGGCCGCGGCGGCAGGGCATTAAGCGGGCCAACAAGTCATGCCAAGACGTTACGTGGGAGACCAGAAGCCAGGGGTGAGTCCTGTGCTTGGGAGCGTGGGTCATGCTGCCGCGTTCCACGCCTCGCGCTTGGCACAACGCAGCCCACTGGCATCACTCGAAGCAAGATCAGCAATGCAGACGCCCGAAGTCACCTTAACCCCGGGTCACGAGTCTGCTGAAAGTTAAAACCCTCCCCCAGTACCTGAATTCCACGAAAGCTTAGCATTGTGTGCAGTGCTGCCCCGATGTGACCCGGGGTCTGAGAGGTCCCTTGCAGCCGCCCTCAGGACCCGGCTGGCCGTGTGCGCCGCCGCCTCTCACCGAGCAGATGCGCCGGGATGGGGCCGTCCTGGCTGACCACGTCCTCGCCGTACTCCTGACGCAGCCGGCCGCGCACAAACGCGTGCAGCTGCTCGTACAGCGGCGTCAGCTGATCCCAGAGCCGAGCGATCTGGGACTGGAAGTCGGGCGTGCCGTACGCCGACAGCCACAGTCCGGTGCCGTCGGCGAACCCTGAGGTCGGGCAAGTCCGCCGTCAGACCCCCTGCGCCGCAGCCGCTGGAGCTCGGGCCGACAGGCGGCAGGCAGGCAACCTTAAATCTAAATCATGCTTTGTTGGGACAGCACATCAGCGGCCGGATATGGAGACGTGCTATAATTGTAAAAAACTCATTCGTTAAGGTCCGATTACTTACACTTGTGTTGTGTGTTGTGAAGTCCTTTCTACTGATTTCTGCTGCTCGTGTGGCATTTGCGTGATGGTGCGGAGTGAAAATGCACGGCATGAATTTTTTAAAACGGTGGCAGACAAAAGTGGCCACTACAAGGCCGGTACTGGGGAGCGTGCCGTCGCCGCCGCTAACCGTTGAGCTTCGCCGCCTCGTTGTGCAGCTGGACGAGCGTGAGGTAGTCCTGCCGCAGCGGCTTGCCGGCGCTGTCTCTCCAGCTGGTCCAGGCACGAGCCAGCTCCTTCGGGTCCCTCTCGGTCGCCATCAGCTGCTTCAGGTCTGCGGCGGCCGTGAGACGCCCCCGGTGAAGGCTAACGGCGTCGGGTTCAGCGCTTATGCGACACACTAATCAACGACATACTAATCAACGACACACTAATCAACGACGTACGACGTACGACATACGACATGCGACATACGACACACGGTGCACCGCGGACCGCAACTGGTGTCATAATTTCCTGACTGTCGGAGGCTGCACATGGCAGTATCGACAGACTTGAGGAAGCATGTGTCAGATGACATACGACACTGAAATGGAAATAACGCTGCGTTTAATGCGAAGCGTGCTTGCTTTAAAGAGGGGGTTCCACATTTGAAGATAATGAAGCAGACATCGGATGTGATGAAATAAGTTTACTTATAGCTCTTGTCATGCCTTTGAATGGAAAGACTGCTCCAGACAACACAATTGTTCCATATAGTAAAGATGCTACTCAATACGTCATTGTTTGATTGCGTCATGGAACGTTTGTGTGATGTGTGGCGCATATTGAAACGTTGGTTTAGTTAAGCATGACCGCCGGAAAATGCACCACGGGCATGGTGCAAACAATCTAAAGCACTACCCGCAATACTTCGGGTGGTTTATGGATTACGCACAGGCACGGATGTCGCCAGCATGTCCGATCGATGAAATAGATCCGTAAAATCATCGCCGGCTCTCAAACTACGGACTGACTGAGTACAGTGTCGTAGCTTCGCAAAATGAGTTGGACGGAGGGCTGAACACCAAAAAATGACTCAAACCAACCCGAAAAACACCAACAAATGGGTTCATCTCCTGATTTGGGCACCTCTCTTCTCGAAATTGCGGGGCCTGCACCCTAAGTTAGGACGGGGATGGGGGTTGAATGGAGTCTATGCCTTGGAATTTATTTACAAGTAAATTCGTATCGTTCAAAGATTACACTGGAGCGCACCTTTTTTCATTTGAGATTGTCTTCTACACACATCAACAATAACAGAGACACGAAAAACATGAATTTAATATTTCGTATGCCAGTTTCACCACTAGATTCCCGCCCCACTTCGCGGTACTGTGTGAAGGCTAGTCCGTCTTAAAGAACTCAAAGGTGCCTCTTTCAGCTGCGTCACCATTTTTGTCCGCCCGTTGGCCAATGATGACCGTTCGCCGCGGGGTCGGGGCGGGGCCGACGCCGCCCGGCCTGAGGAGACTGCAGCGCCGGATGTGAGGGTGTTCGCTGCCAAGATTTGCGATCGCGCGTGTTCAAAATTACGTTACATGATTTTTCTCACTTATCGATTCTGACTAAATGTCGAACATTTCCAGGCAAACATTGGTCGGTCATGCTGCTACAAATTTTTGACCAATTTTGGGGTCTTTCACCATTAATGGGCCCCTTTCAATGAATTCTTCTCCCTCCATCCATTGCCAAAGCTCTGGCCACGCCTCTGCGGTGTACGTAAATCAGAGTATTTGTCTGAGATGAAATGTCACATTCCCAATGCCCTCCCCCCCCCCCCCCCAACTTTGGAAGAGGAAAGCTCAAATCCGGAGAAAACCCCGTTTGTTTGGGTTTTCGAGGCAGGTTTAATCATTTTTCGTTGCTCAGCCCCTCCTCCTAACTCATTTTACGGAATTACGCTCCTGTGCCCAGTTTAAGAGCTGGCGATGATTCCATGGATCCACTTAACCGATCGGACCTGCTGGTGACTTCGTGCATGCATACCACGCCCGTGGTATGTATTCAGGCGGTCATGCTTAACTGAGCAAGTGTCTTAATAAACGCGTTAAGCTGTTGCCATCTTAGCACTTACATGTAGTGCATCAAACTCACCAACAGATGATGGCACGGTGCTGGAAGTGTTCGCTGAGATGAATGTTATTATGTGTTCGAGTTTTGACCCTTTCTGATGGTTATCTTGCACGAAGTTAGCCTATATTTACGTACTTATGCTATCAATAGTTATGGCGCATTTCATAGCTCATTCGATTACGTGCCTTATTTCTGTAATAGCTGGGAACAATGTCCAACCTCTTATGTTATGCAGTACAAAAGGCGAGACGTGATTGAAACTTGTACGGATTACTTAATATTAATAGAGCCAATTGACGCCCATAACATTGGAAATCGTGCTCACGGACGCCATATCTAAACGGCTCGACGATAATATTATTTTTGGCCCTCGGCGGCGCATTGCCTGTTGGGTGCCGGTATTTGAGTGGCGTCGTTAGTCGTTATACATACCTGAATGGCCTTAAAATAGTCTGCACAAAATAGTCAGCACATATGTGCTGGTGTGAAGCTTAGAATCTAAACGGTTTTGGTTTAAAGAAGGGCAGGGCTGCGAGCTGTACGGAATGATCTGCAAAATGACTATTCCAGTTTAGAACGCCATACAAATGTGGAACACTCTCTTTAACAGGAACAATGCACATTTCCTACTATATCAATATTGTTGTGGAACAACACTGTGAACCTGACTGGATGACTGTGTGCTTAGTGACGAATTGCCTGATTCGTATTCGTACCTGGTTCAAGGCGTAATTTGCAATTTTCTTGCGTTTTGTCGCAAATCGTCGCTTCATTGTACGCCTTTTGCATGTTCTTTTCAATGCGTTCATACTGGAACGAAGGCGGTATTAAAGCACCAATGGTGAGAACAATGGTGAGAACAATGGTGAGAACAATGCGGAAACCACGTGAGACACAGCCTTAACGTTCCAACACCCGATGGGTGGTTTTGGACGCATAACTGGAATCCTATAAGTCACAACATCCCTAGTCCCGTCCTGACATCTACTATGCATGGTTTCGTGCGCCCTGTTCTTGTTCCACACCTGCTCTGGTGCTGTCGCCACGCCCTCGCTAGCCCCGTTGCTACGACGGCTCTATTGGCTTTCTCCCACCCACTTAAGTCCAGTTGCTTGGTCTCCTCTGGCTCCGTCGTTCGATTTCGTAAGTCTCCCCACATCTTTAGAATTTCCACCCTTCCCCATCTCCGGCAACATTGTCTCCTCATCCCATAGTCTCGCTTCATAATATCCCCTAATCTCGCTCCGTTAACACTTTTATACATGTCTCTAAGATGTTTGAGTTGCGTTCTATCGGTTGGGTTACCGTCTACCACTGCGCCATCTACCGTTTTTTTTTTGTTGTATTCGTCCCTTACATATTCCTGCCGCGTTCTGTCAGTCAATCGTTTTCCATTCGCTCAGCTGTTAAAGCTTCATTCCCCGCCCACTCTCTTTTCCCGTCCGTTCACGCGCTTAAGTCCCATCTTCCCTTACCTATAAGATGTGACAGGCCCGACCTCACCTCACCTAACAGGCCCCACCCTCACCTCACCAACACATCCTCACCACTCCTAACCTAACAGACCCGACCTCACCTCACCTAACAGACCCCACCCTCACCTCACCAACACATCCTCATCCCTCCTAACCTAACAGGCCCGCCCTCACCTCACCTATCACACCCGACCCTCACCTCACCAACACATCCTCACCCCTCCTAACCTAACAGACCTGACCTCACCTCACCTAACAGACCTCCACCTCTAGTGTCTCACCTCCTCGAGCTTGGGATCCGGCAGCGCGGCCGCGCCTCGTTGGGAGAGTATCTGCAGCTGGCGCCGCACGCTCTCGTCCTTGATCTGCTCCCGGTCGTACCCCTTGAGCTCAGACCACCTGGCATTGACGAACTGGGCGTGCGAGTGGTGGGCCGCCATCTGCAGAGCGAATTGCGAACTTAGCTCGGCTGCTGCACAACAGCCGTTTGCAATGCTTCAATGGCTGGAATCGGAACGCACCTTATTTGACCCTTATTGAAATGCAATAACTTTGTATCAAAATGGGAAAAACAGAGTTTGACGTTGGCGTCATCAGCATTTTCGACAGCTTTCGCTGGGGAAGTGTTTTGCCTTTTCCCTTTGTTCATTTATGTGCACTTCGGGACGTAGTGTATGATTCATAGTTCATAATCCCGCATTTGATAACATGATAGGCTAGCTTGCCAGCACGCAGCGGCGGGCGTGCACGGGCATGCCTCCATGACTGCGACCACGGCTTTGGCTCCCCCATAACTTGTTGTTCACCAATGGCCAACCTAACTTGCATGTGCACGAGTCAGCCATTGCACGTTTCAGACCGTTCGGACTTGCATATCACGAATACTCCCGTTTTGGCGCTGTCATGCGACATAACTCAAGCGGCGCCAAGCTGGCCGCCACATCACTTCCATATCTGCGTGGTCGGCGGGCGAGTGAAGCCCGTCTCTTCAGCGCTCTCCGCGGCTGGCAGCAGCCGACATCGGCCAGCAGCGCCGCCGCCGCCGCTGCTGGAGCCGGGCTGCGGCGGCGGCGGCGCGGCGCCTGCAGAGTTACGGTCAGCCGCCGCGGCCGGTTTCCGGCCGGCCTGCATGACTCGGGCGGTCCAGGGTCAGGAAAGGGGCCCGGCGGCCGGTGCGGCGCGGCGGCCGGCGCCCCGCCCGGCTGCCGCGGGTTTGGCGCCGGGCCGGGGGCGCCGGGACAGGCGCTCCCCGGCTGTCGCGGGTTTGGCGCCGGGCCGGGGGCGCCGGGCCAGGCGCTCCCCGGGCGGTGCGGCGCCCGCTGCAGCGGGTTTGGCGCCGGGCCGGGCCGGTCCGGTCGGGGCGCCGGGGCGGGCGCTCCCCGGCTGTCGCGGGTTTGGCGCCGGGCCGGGGGCGCCGGGGCAGGCGCTCCCCGGCTGCCGCGGGTTTGGCACCGGGCCGGGCCGGTCCGGTCGGGGCGCCGGGGCGGGCGCTCCCCGGGACGGCGCGGCGCCCGCTGCAGCGGGCCGTGTCGGAAGCGGCAGCACATCCGGCGTCGGGTGACGTCGCTATTGTCGAGCGGGGCAGCGGCCGCCGACGCCGGGCGCCGGGCCGGCGCGCGGCCGCCGCTCTCACGGCGCTGCGGTCCTGCGGCGAGCTCCGCGTTACCGCCCGCCGCAGGACCGCAGAGCCGGCGCCGTGGACGATGGACAGGGACGCCGCGTTACCGCCCGCCGCAGGACCGCAGAGGCGGCGCCATGGACGATGGACAGGGACGCCGCGTACCTCCGTAATTTTGACTTCACATCAATGCTGCGGCGTTGCATGAGGTTTACCTCAAGATGTCCTTGTCCCTCTCCCCTTGCCCCTTCCCCATAAATCTTCTCCCCAGTTCGTCCATGGTTGGCGTCGCCCATCCGTGCTAGTGTACCGCTTCACGATGCATCAGTACAATGTGCTCCTGTTCCCGGCTCCAGCCATGACTGTCATGATGGTATGATCGAGATGACAGCGACTAAAATGGCGGTGAAGCAAGCATGATTTCCATCCGTCATCGAAGAGGTTCGAATGTGTGCATATGATTACCTGAGAGGGATTTTGAAGTGTCATGCATACTGCACTTAAAGTACTTCGCGTCCAATGTCGTGCACCAAACATGCATATCATCAGTCATCCTGGCACACCAGCGTCTTGGCAGACGTGCCTGAAAAAGACGGGTCCAACCAAATCCGAGTGAGTCATTGGCATGCGTCTGCAGACGGTTAACTTATGGAAAGTAGGCTGGCGACGACCTCCCCCTCTCCCCTTCCAACTTTGCTGTTCCTACGCCAGTCAATTAAGGCCGCGATAAATGCATGCACTATCCCCCACTCTAAGGGTCGACGGTATGAAGCCATGCCACGAGGTTCAAGTTCCACCTGAATGTGACAGCAACTGGCCTTGGCATACCATTAAATAGCGACAAAAGCATGTGCTGATGCCATCCGCATGCTTTTCTGCCTAACGGAGCAGAATAACATCCGCGTTTCAGACGCCGCCGCGTGTCAGATCTAGCGCCGCCGAGGCTGGCTCCAGCTTCACCTTCGGCGGCGGCCTGTTCGCGTCTCGATGATAGCGGCCGTCCTGTTCCGCGGAATCGGATGGGCGGCGTGCCCACCCTCCCTAAGCCGTCCGGCCGTACCAGGGCGTGCAGGGCGTGCGTGACGTCACAGCACGGCTCGTGACGTACTCGGCGGCGGACGGGTGCGGGCGATGCGGGCTGCTGGCGTGGGCTGCGCCACCACAGGCGAGCCCTGTCTCGGGTCCGGATGGAGAGCGCGCCCCTCAGGCCGGAGGTAGCGGCCAGCCTCCCTACTGGCATGTCAACCTGAATGCCCCGCGGGCACACGAGCATGACTCATAATTTCCGGACAGACCGTATCCAAGTCTCCCACAATGCCGCAGCTTGCTGATAGTGTTTCAATGCCGTCGGGGCCTTGACACCACCGCCTGCTGGAGTGGCCGCCGGCCATTGGAGCCATGGCATTGTTCAGGAAATTTCGTGGACACCGAGCGACATTGTCCGTGTCGCAAGCGGGCCGTGCCTACCGGCCGGGCGCTCGTGGCTCGTGTGCGCCGGTGGCGGCAGGAGCTGTGCTGTTTTCGTGCTGATCGTGGCGCGGTGTCAGGCCCGCGTGCCCCGCGCCGGCCGGGGCGCCACGAGCCGGTGTTCGTGTCCACCGCGCACTCGTGTCACTCGCAATGGTGGCGTGCGTGCGGCGCTGCGGCGACCCAGAGCTGCCCGGCCAGGCCAGCCAAGCCGGGCAGGCTGATGTAGCGGCCCAGAGCTGCCCGGCCGGGCCAGCCAAGCCGGCAGGCTGATGTGGCGGCCCGGAGCTGCCCGGCCGGGCCAGCCAAGCCGGTCAGGCTGGTGTAGCGGCCCAGAGCTGCCCGGCCGGGCCAGCCAAGCCGGGCAGGCTGATGTGGCGACCCAGAGCTGCCCGGCCGGGCCAGCCAAGCCGGTCAGGCTGGTGTAGCGGCCCAGAGCTGCCCGGCCGGGCCAGCCAAGCCGGGCAGGCTGATGTGGCGGCCCAGAGCTGCCCGGCCGGGCCAGCCAAGCCGGGCAGGCTGATGCAGCGACCCAGAGCTGCCCGGCCGGGCCAGCCAAGCCGGGCAGGCTGATGTAGCGGTTGTTTTCTGTCAACTCCGTGCGCCAGTGAAAATCTAAATGTGACGGCTGTCACTTGGCTCGCCTATTGCTGTGCTGCATATCTCACTCCACGCCCCGGCCGATGTGGAATGGATACGGTATGTTTTACAACAAAGCTGACGAATTCCATAGAACGTGTGCGCAGACAGAGGCTAGTCCGTTGCGGAAAGGTGCTACGAGGCGGGGCAGGACGGGTCACATCCCGTTTGCGTCTTGTGTTTCGTGTTAGAATAAGGGTCCTATGCGGCCCGGACGTCTCGTAAAATCGCACACGTTTGGACGAATTCGCTGTTCACCTATTTCGAAGATATGGATTTAAGGCAGCTGCCTTGTTCGCTCCACTTCCGCAGTACGAAACCGGGCAGCAATCACCAGGCATTTTCTGAACGTAAAACGGGTCGATACCAAAGCAAACTTCTTATTGTGTGCAGCACACACCGTGCATCTCGCCACTATTCGAGTCATCATGTTGAAGTGGATTCTGAGTCAAGCATACACTGAGACTATGTATACACTAGACACATTCGGCTGCATCCAACCACAGTCAACTTCACATTTCTTCTACGAGACAGGCCTCAGAGGTCTCGTGATATGATGAAAACTAAGCAAGCTAAGCAAAAAAAGCACGGAAAATCAGATTTGCAAAGTTCCGACAAACTGCTTCAGATAGGGTGGCTGAACAATCCTAAACGGTACCAAGGACAGGTCAAATTAGATCGTGGGCGTCAAATTAGCACTCAATGGGGCTGTGATGTTCTATGGATTAGTCAAATGAACTCGCAGGTGTCAAATTAGCACTTCATAGGCCCGTCCCGCCCTTTCTCTTAATAACTATGCTTGATATAACACTGCAAAAACGGGGTTGAATACCTCGAAAAACCTCCATCAAATGGGGAGGGGGGCAGTGAAAATCGACACATATAACTTGTGACATATAATGCCAGGTCAAAATGGTGAAGACATTGTTGAGTCGGTCCACCCAGTTATGTTAAGAACTAGATAAGCTCCATCAATGGGAGAGGCACTGCCAGAAAAGATCTTTCAAAGCCTTAAGATGCATGCATTTAATTTGTAAATGTATGGCTTTGTTTAGGTCAAATCTGGTTATAATGGTCAAGGTCTGACCTTGTTCAACCATGGAAGATTTGAAGTTGCAAAGATATTCAGGACGTTGGTAATGCACTTAAGAGAAAAAAGTTTAAAGCACAGTCTTGAAAGCCTCCTTGGAGAACATCTCCTGCGATTTATAGGCGCTACCTATATTTTATGAGAACAATGCCACCTCATGACCTCATGACCGACATGAACTCAAGAACATTAAGATCTGTCAAGGTCAGGTGCCTCAAATTCTGACACCGTGTTAAAAAATACCGCAAATTCAGCTTAAACCACAGCTAAATCCTGTAAGCTGTTAAGCGAGGAACATTATGCACCTAGATAAGGCAGAAGTATATAAGCCATATAAATAAAAGCATTATTCCTCAGAGCAAAGCCAGAAGAATGGAGAGATGCATGCGTTGATATTTCGACAGCACACAAATTCGAAGCGAATAGCAGAAGTGAATTCAAAATTACCTGCCAATGATTTCATTCATTTTTTCTTTTTTTTTGAAACTGTGGGCCACAGTTTTAACAGGACACCAGCATTCATGGGATTATACAAGGAGTAATTTCCAACCATTGCTGCGGGACAGTACATATCTAGCTACGACTTAGCATACACGAAAAATGCGTGTAAGGTCGTGCGAATTAAA